AGGAGACATGAAAAAAGGAAGTTTCGTCTTCTGGAGTCTGGAGATCATCTATAATAATAGAGCTTCAACATTAAAAAAAAAGATCAAAAGCAAAGCCTCATCGCAAATACGTTGTGCCCTGGCACACCTAGCTAGGTGTGCCAGAGCAATAATAAAATAAATATGTTATATAATAAAATGAACATGTTCATTTTTATTATGTAACATCAGGGGCGTAGCCAGAAATATTTTCTGCCCTGGGCTGCTAGAATCCATTTGTTAGGGAGTACAACTCATTTCGGCTCGTAAAAGTCAATATTGGCTCATTCATACAATAAAATATAAAATAAAAATTTAATTCAAACAAGCGGAACTTAATTGATTTCACTCAATTTATTAAATAATCCGAGCCAAACTTGCTCATTTATTATGCGAGCACAAGTTCGAATACGACGTATTCGACTCAATTTGGCTTCACTAATATCATTATTGTTATGTGAAAATTCAAAGTATGATAATTTTTTTTAAGTGTTTGATGTAAATTACAAAATCAATGAAAAATAAATTATTAAAAATATGTCATGTCGTTTTAGTAAATAAAAACATAGTACTGTCGCGTAGTTTTTTTTTTTGCCTACTTAAATTTGGCTTATAAAAATAATATACATTATGTTAAATACCATTATGAGATTAACATTTTATTATTAGACAAATTAATCCAACATACTTGTTATATGATATTTCAATTATATTGTGAATCCAAATGTCATTTTATTGAATAGACGTATTAATCTAACATACTTGTTATATGATATTTTACTTGTTTCATTGGATATGCTACGCAAATTAATGAAATTAAATCTTATATTTCACATATTCAAATATTTTTTATTTATAAGTTAACAAATAATTGATATATTTCAATATAAAGTGGTATAAATAATATAAATTCATCGTGTTTTAAACCAAATATTAAAAATGAAAACAAAGAAGAAAAAATGACAAAATAAGCTGTAACCACAAAAAAAATACATAAAAAGTTTTGGTCATGTAAATGTATAATTTTTTGGTTTAATATCAAATAAATTTAAATTAAATAATTTTATCATAAATTAAATTATCATGATATAGGCTAATATAGTTTTTTACTACTACATATTTAGACCTAACAAAAAAATTAGACTGGGCTGGAGCCCGGGTGAGCCACCATGTGGCTACGCCCCTGTGTAACATGTAATGATAAAATGAACATGTTACATAATATAATGAACATGTTCATTACATGTTACATAATAAAATGAATATGTTCATTTAAAATGAACATGTTCATCTTATTATTTCATCTTATTATATAATTGTTTATTTTATTATTGTCCTGGCAAACCTAGCTAGGTGTGCTAGGGCCACACGGTAGTAGCATGAAGCCTCATTGACTATGTGGGACAGTAAAAATCATATGTACCCACGGTTTCTCACAAATTGAATATATAATCGTGTGAAAATGAACTCACGCACGTGTGATGTTGTGGCCAAAAAGTCGCCGGCCCAGCCACAATTATGGCAGCTGCTATTTACAAGTCTGCTTTTTACAATAGAGAGTGTGGGCCCAGATTAATTGGGATATGGGCCCATCTTTAATTCAGTTCAGAAATAATGGACCAGGTTGTAAATAATTATAATTCCATATTGGTCCTTACACTTCTCTATATGCATTTCACACCTACCTTCCTCGTATACATATATACTCATTTCACGGGCCAAATTGCATATTTAGTCTTGGTTTAATTTACCAAGATTTCAACTTTTTGTATTTTGATTATGTAATTTAGAGCATGTTTGGATACAAATTCAATTCAAAAAAATCCAATTATTTTTAATTCAACTATTTTTTTAACTCAATTTTAACTTAACCCATTATTATCAATATAATTAAATAATATCAATCAATCAAACCACTATCATAAATATTATCAATATAATTAAATAATATCAATCAATCATTTTTACACACAACATCAACCTTAATTTACTATTCATCTACTCACATAATTTTAACTAACCATTACATCACATTTTCTCTCTCATACTTTTACATCAATTTAATTTTAATCATTTTATTTTAAAAATTATTTTAATATACTCACTAACAATTAATCATACCAACTTTTTCAAATTTAATCATCCCAAACCAAAAATCCAATCAAAACAAAACAAATTTATATCCAAGCATGCTCTTAGTATTTTACTGAAATTTCAATCTTTCGGGACTAAAATTGCAATAGTACTTAGAATTACAAGACTTAAATTGCTAATAAAAAACTTTTTAAAAATTTTTTTATTAGTAATTTAAGTCTTGTAATTTAGTATTTTGTCGCATTTTAGTTCCAAATGACTGAAATTACATTGAATTTTTAACTTATATGATCAAATAACAAAAATATTCATTTTTAGGACTAAAAACGTAATTAGATCAAACCAACATGACTAAAATTACAATTTGGCTCATTTCACACCTACCTTCATATATACTCGGTGGCTTGTTTGTTCTTCACATCTCAATTAACGGATAAACGATAAATCAAAATCAAAATCAATTTTCACAAAAGAGAAAAAAATGGCACTCGCCAAAGCCAAGGAGATCGTCTCGACGAACCCAGTCGTCGTCTTCAGGTATTATCCATCTCT